CTGTAATTCAGCCTTCAGTCTTGTTCCAGACCACTGTAGGGAGGTATCTGGGTACTGTTGAGGGGCTACCTTGGTAGCTATAGTCTGAATGAGGGTGCAACACAACAGTCTGAGGAGAGGTCATCATTGGTAGCCTGGCCCCAGATCTGTTTGTGCTAATCATTCTAACTCATTGTCATGTTTGGCATGACAAGGGGAGGAATAATAGCACAAACATACTGGTACCCAGGCTACATTGTTAGGGCACTGACCAAATCCAAATCAAATCAAATGTTATTTGTCACATGCAACGAATACAACAGGTGTAGACCTTACCGTGAAATGCTTACTTACAAGCTTGTAACCAACAATGCAGTTCAAGAAATAGAGTTAAGAAAATATTTACTAAAATGAAATAAAAAGTAACACAATAAAATAACAATACCGAGGCTATATACAGGGGGTAACGGTATCGAGTCAATGTATGGGGGTACAGGTTAGTCGAGGTAATTTGTATATGAAGGTGGGGGTTGGGGGGGGGGGGGAGAGAATAACTCAGAAGCCTTAGTCCTACCTATAGTCTAAAAACTAGGCCCAGAGCTTTCCTGCTCAGGTAAAATTGAGGACCCTTATTATCACTCTGGGCTTCCTTAGGCCTACAGTACACTTTCAGGGCCTACCCTCCCAGAGGGGATGAGAGAAGGTTTGAGTCCCAAATTGCACCCTATTGCCTTTATAGTGCACTACTTTTGACCAGAGGGCTCTGGCCAATATAGGGAAAAGGGAATATACATAGGGAATAGCGTAGCATTTGAAATTGGTTCCCAGGGATCGAGGCAATATAGTGGACTAATGACCTGGTACCCAATGACTCAAACATGTGTATTACAGGTGCACAACTTTCACTGGGGACGGGGGGGACATGTCCACCCCCACATTCTGAAATTGCATTTTTGTCCCCCCCAGTTTTATCTTTGGAATGTGATACAAAACGAGGCAATGGTGTGCTTTAGGACCATGTGGACGCCTCCGAGCACTCGGGTAGGCTGTTTGGAGTGTTTATCCAACTGGATGTCGTCCCCCCCCCCCCCCCCCCCCCCCCCCCCCCCCCCCCCCACTTCTAGTTGTGCCCCTGGTGTATTACGCTTTCCCCATTGTAAAGTATGGATGGAGTACATGACCATTGTGTCTTATACATACATCATCATTACCTTTACTGGATTATTTTATTCTGGGTCAAACATTTCTCAAAGTGACCCACAGTGACCCTAGAAAAACAAGATGCCTTATCTCAAGAAAGGTATCTAGTCCTCTGATTTCTCAATAAAAACAAAATATATACAGTCTTATCAAGGAATTACCTGGTCATTGTTAAGGCAGAATAAACTATCCAAATTAGGCAACAGGTTTTCATAGGAAAACCAAAGCTATAGGTCATCTGTCAGATAGCTGGAACACAGGTATAATGTTACATTGAACAGCTGGCCTTTAGAAAACATGACATGCATTTAGTTGGTTTTCATGGTATAGTATTTCCCTAGATTTCTCCCTCAAAATGTCACAAAATGTAACTGACATTGTCCATTTTCCATTAGTGATGGATGAAATAATAGTAGTGTGGCAGGTAGCCTAGCGGTTAGATTTTTCGGCCAGTAACCGGAAGATCGTTGATTCGAATACTTGAGCCAACAAGGTGAAGGCACATAACTCTAATTTGCTCCAGGGGTGCCGCACTGCTATGGCTGACCCTGTAAAACAACACATTTCACTGCACCTATCCGGTGTATGTGACAATAAATCTTGTTTTTCTATGGTGGGCGGGCTATGGGGTGTAAGGGTTGGTGTGACCCAGGTGCAGTGCAGGATAGACAGTAGGCATTAAGAAAGGATGATGAAACAAGGATCTTTACTGGGAGAACACTTCTCGTGTACCTGTAACTCCGTCACGTGATCTGACACTGATACGTACTGCTTGACCTCAACGAACTAGCAAAGAAAACTGAGCAAGGGAACACAGGGAAGTGAGGGCATAAATACACAAGTGAATCAGATAGACACAGGTGACACCAATAGGCAGATAATTAGTCCCGACTGTGAGTGAGGAGGTGCCTATGGTTGTCGGAGGGTGACACCTAGTGGGTCACTCCGGAACTGCGACCCACTCCTGTAACAGGAGGCGACGGAATGCTGTATCAGCCCTGGGTCCAGAATGTCCCTCCTGGGCACCCCGGACTGCTCCTCTGGCCCATAACCCTCCCAATCCACCAGAAATAGGAGACCCCTCCCCCCCGCCGGAAGTCCAGGATCTGGTCCACTGTAAAAGCAGGCTGCCCTCTGACGAGGCATAGTGGGGGAACAGGACAAGGAGGGGGAGCCAGGGTACAGGTGGCGACAGGCTGGAGGAGGGACACCTGGAATGTGGGATGGACCCGCATGGTGGGGGGAAGTTGCAGGTGTTAGGTCACTGGGTTGACTCGCCGGACCCCTCTGAATGGCCCGACGGGACCACCGCCTCCTCCTCTTGCTCGGGGAATAGTGGCGCTTGGAGATAGGCAGAGGTCGGAGCAGCCCAGCCGCGGGCTGACGTGAGCTCTTCGTGCGTGCGCACACCAGGCAAGCAGCCACGAAGGCACGTGTATCCCCCTCAGCAGATGGCCACCAGAACCTCCTACGCAGGAACTACAATGTCCTGGCGCCCCCTGGATGGCTGGTGAGGTTGGAGGTGTGCGCCCACTGAAGCAGTCGCGAGCACGCAGCCTTGGGTACGTACATCCTCCCCGATGGGCCTCCACCCAGATCGGGCTCCCGCCGTAGCGCTGCTCTGACCAGCCTATCAATTCCCCACAAAACTGGGGCAGCCATCAGGGCATTGGGGACAATGGGGTCGTCCCTCATTGCCAGCGTCTAAGGCCGGGACAAGGAAAGCAATCGCCCCTGTGTGGGCATGGCTCCCGGCAGGAGATCGATAGCGCTGTCATAAGGCGGTAGGCCCTTGGCATGCCTCCTACTAAACACTTCCCCCAGATCCCAATACTCCTGGGGAACAGCCGCCAGGTCTGGGCCGGTGACAGAGTGCGGGACCTGGGGAAGAGGTGAGGACTGGTAGGTGGTCTGGGACGGTGGTTTGGGCTGATGAGTGGTCGGTGGCGACCGGAACAGGATGGGGGAGGAGCCTCCCTCCAGGATGAGCCGCCCCGTGGACCAACCTATCTGGGGATTGTGGTCGACCAGCCAGGGGTGCCCGAGGATGAGGGGACACTCCGGAGAGTCAACAATGAAAAACTGGATATACTCCCATAGCCCCCCACCACCACCCGGACACGCGCGGGGACAGTGCGCTTGGTGATGCAGCCCGACCCCAACCGGCTCGGAGAGAGAGTAACGGAACGCTCCACCCTTGGGCCAGCCCTGCGTCCATCAAGTTTCCCGTGGCCTCAGAATCCACCAGTGCATGCGTCCGACGTGCAGTGCGGGCCCACTGAACCCTGACGGGGAGAAAAATCAGGGAGTCTCTGGAGTTGGGGTTTCGGTTCCGGCTCGCTAGCACCCCTCCCGATCCAAGCAAGCCCTCCCGTTTCCCCGGATTCTCCGGGCATGAGTCGCAGTGGTGACCTGCGTGGCCACAGTACCGGCAAAGTCCCTGGGGCAGACGCCTCTGCGTCTCCATTCTGGACAAGCACGCCGCACCAAGCTGCATAGCCTCCTCCTGAGGCGTCTCCTCCCTGAATCGTCAGAAAGCCTCCGGGCTGATAGGGTGACAAGGAGGCGAGCCTTGCGTCATGCCTCTCTAATATGCCCGCTCACGACTCCGATTGTCCACCCGCACCGAGAGGTCGACGAGGCTGTCCATTCGCTCAGGCAGCTCCATGAAGGATATTTCGTCCTTCATCCCATCCGATAGCCCCTGCACGTACAGGCGACCAGGGCGGCCTCCTCCCATCCTGCCTCTCGAACCCGGGTCCGGAATTCCAAAGAGTAGTCAATAAACGAACGGTCACCCTCCCGACAAGCCATGATCTGCCTCCCGGCCTTGTGCCCCGACACCACCCGAGAGGTATCGAACACCTTTGTAGCTCCCGGGTGAACTGGTAGGAGTCGGAGCACCCCGGAGTTTGGCTCTCCCACTCCGTGGTAGCCCAGGAAAGGGCCCGACCCGTCAACAGAGTGATAATGTAGGCCACCCAGCCCTGCTTCATCAGGAAGGAGGAGGGTTGTAGGCTGAACATCAGGGAACACTGGGTGAGGAATTCCCTGCAGCCCTCTGGCCGTCCGTCGTACCTCTCTGGAGGAGGTAGGTGGGGTTCCCGCGATGTTGCAGGCGAGACTGGAGACGCCGCTGCCAGGGCTGGTCGGGTGTCCACCCGGCTCTACACGCCGATCGTCAGCTGGCGGAGATTCTCGATGATCTGCTGCAGGCTGCGGTCGTGCTAATCTAGCATGGCTCCATGCACTGCCAATGCGCTATAATACTGTGCTGCCTCCGCTGGGTCCATATTGGCTCAGTTTTCTATAAGCGTTGGTGTGAGGTGTGACCCAGGTGCGGTGCAGGATAGACAGCAGGCAGTAGGCAAGGATGGTGAAACAAGGATCTTTACTGGTTGTCCAAAAGCCAGGATACAAAACAACGGACTATTCCCGAAAACAAATGAGGAACACCTAGGTCTTCAAAAAACAGGCTGACAGCAAACAATGTGAAATACTAACTCTGACTGGAAAAACACAATGACATAGGGAGAACACTTCTCAAGTACCTGTAACTCCGACACGTGATCCGACGCTGATACGTGATTAAAAGTTTTTATTCAAATATCCACACCATACATCATCATACACATTACACACACCATTAATTCCCAACCCCAATATCACTAAAAAGAACAATACAAAACTACCCAACACAATATATATATCAAACACCCACAAAACCGAACAATAACAGAAATTACACCCCAGGGGAGCACCTTCCCTCCCCCTTTATACCCAGCTAAAAACACACATACAAAAACTAAATCCCTACCCCTCTACACTAACCCTAAGCCTAAACCCCCCTTCCACCTCTCCCGAGCAGCATTCTGCCCCCACTTCCTCTCCTTTCTCTTCATTCTCCCCCTCAAATTCTGCTCCACCCTCCTCACTATCCCCTCCACACCCCCTTCTCTTCCTGTCCTTTCCATTTTCTGCCTAGCTTCCCACAACCCCCGTTTAAAGAGGCTTATGAGAAGCCAGAGCAGAAACCTGTCCCTAACCGTCCCACTCGCTTTCCCTACACCTCTCTCTACCCTAGCCCACGTCACAACAAAATCCCCCCTAACCCTGCCTATCAACACCTGTGCCCTAGCCCATACCACCCCGGCGAAAGCACAGACCCAGAAAACATGGAACAATGTCTCCTCCCCGCCACAAGTTGGTCTTGGGCAGGTGGGGGATTGTGTCATACCACGCCCGTTGAGGCCGTTGTCCAGACCACACACCTGCACTCCTTCCCAGACCCCAGCCGGGATACCCACTATGGGCCCTGGACACCCTCCCTGTCTCACCTCCTCGAACAGGTGCCTGTGATCTAAACCTACTCGGGCAACTTCAACCTCGGGGTACGCACGCAGCCCACTTGGCTGCATAGCCAAAGTGCCACGGCAGCTGTTCCGCACGAGGACCCGTGTTAGACCACACCATTACGCTTCTCGCCTGATAAGAGAAAAACACCCGCAGGAAGTAACCAGACGGGTGTATCACCGGATGAGCCAGCTCTGTCAACAAAAAAGAAACAAAAATCAAGTCCAGGTTGAGGGGGAAATGTGGTACCCCCCTACCTCCCAGAGCATGCATACCCTCACGACATACTCAAGCCTGCCACCCCACATGAACTGAAACACTAGCCTCACTAGAGGCCTCCTCAGACTAGCTGCCAATGGGTAGACGTATGCCATATACAAAAGAGACGGCAACACATCCACCTTGAGGACCAGGACCTTGCCTATAAAGGACAACAACCTAGACATCCACATCCCCAGCTTCCTCTGTACCACTGCGATGCTCCTGTTCCAGTTCAGCGTCGCTGAGCCGGAGGTCTCAAACAAGACCCCGAGCATGATTGAGAACCGCTCCCGACGCTCGGGTGAATTCCCCAATGATAGCAAGGGACCTAGTCTGGCACGAGTCCTTGCATAATAAGAAGGAGGTGTCGTCGGCATGCTGCGTCATCTTAATATGCAGCCCACCGCTCCCAAAGCACGGATGCACCCTATATACTTCTCCACAAAACCTAACCTACCTAACACCCTGAAAAGAAAATATCTATTCACTCGATCAAAGGCTTTAGCCTGATCAAGTGCTGCTACCATTAACAGCAGCCCTCTATCCTCTACCCAAGCGATGGAGTCCCTAATCAAACTCAGGTTCCACCTAATAGAGCGGCCCTCTATCCCACACGTCTGATCCTCATGTACGATGTAGGGAAGGGCTGTGCGCAACCGGTCCACTAGAACCTTCGCAAGCAGCTTATAATCTACGCACAGCATGGTCAACGGCCGCCAGTTGCCAAGGTCTGTTGCGTCTCCCTTCTTGTAAAGAAGTGACAGCACACCTAGGGCCATCGATCCACCCGGGACCCCCGTCTCGAGGATGGCCTTCAAGACTTCAAGGACTACCGGACCAAGTTTCCCCCAAAACGTCAGGTTAATCTCTGTCGGCAGCCCATCCATTTCTGGCACCTTCCCTTTTCCCATACTCCTGAGGGCGCTCTCAACCTCTTCGAGGGAGATCTGAGCCTCCATCGCTTCTCTAATGTCCTCTGGCACTCGCCGGGACAGGTGTTCTAAAAACACGTTTCCCTGCTCTACATCTACTGCCCTTTCTTGAAAAAAACCTCTGAAATGTTCCGTGGTCACCTTGACCATTTCCTCAGTTTCTCTCACTACTCTACCATTTTCTTCACTAACCCCGTACATTACCTTCCTACTCTGTCTTCCCCTAACTGATTTAAAGAACACGGCGGAACAAGTCTCGTCGTGTTCTAAAAACCCACTATGCGCACGCTCCAGGAAAGCGCGAGCCTTCTGCTCATGCAGCTCCCTAAGTTGCGCCTTTAGGGCAGAGGATCTCTCCCAGTCTACCGACCCGCCGAGGTTGCCTGCCTCGAGCTCGAGTTCGAGCAGCCTTTGGATATGATCCACCTCCGTCCTTTCCTCCCTCTTTTTCTTCTTACAATATCCTATTATAAAAACCCTAATCCTCACCTTTGCTATTTCCCACCACTCCAACACCCCCTCACACATGGACCGGAGGCCCTCAAGCCCCCTAAAGAAATCAACAAAACAGTTAACGAAAGCCTGCTCATCCAGTACCTCCCGTTCTAACTTCCAGTACCCCCTACCGAAGAGTTAGACTGGTGACCCCACATGCAGCAGCACCCCGTCGTGATCTGACAAAAACACTGGCAACAAACGCCTAGACAACTGACCCAGTGACCTGGATAGAAAAATATAGTCGAGCCTCCGCTCGACCCCTCTGGAGTTGCGCCATGTTGGACCTGCCATCATCGGAGCAGTGTGCAGGCCCCCATCTACCACACCATGGCACGCCATTAGCCCGGCGATGGCACCTGCACTACTGTCCCTCCCCCTCCTTATATCTATATTAAAATCCCCCCGTATCACCAAGTGTGATCGCCAACTGTGGCCCGTACACCACAATTACCCTATATCTATCATCCCTTACTGTGACATCCACCCCCCAAAACCCTCCCCTGCATACCTTCCAAAGTGCCCTCCACCTTCACCTCCCTATTCCCAAACAAAATCCCTATCCCCGAGGACACAGGAGATTCTTCCCCCACAGCGCCCTTCTCCCCCATGACACGCTTGGTCCCCCCCCTCCCCCCTCCCCCACCACCCATTTCCCACTTCCTGTCCGAGGATCTCCCCCTCCTCTTCCCTCTCTTCTTTGGAGACGCCGGCAGTGGGGAGACCCAGCCCCCCTTGATTATCAGCTCCTCCATCATCTCCCTAACCTCATCCCCCTGGGCACTCGACATCTCGCTTTCCCCCCACTCCGGCCCCCCCTCTCCCCCCTTCTCCTCTCCTCCCAGGGCTGTGGCTGGCTCCTACCCGACCTCCTCTCCCTCCGCCGCCTCCATCTCTGGCACCTCCTCTCCCACACTCCCCTCCACCTCCGTCCCCGGCACCACCTCTCCTTCCGGAACTGCTACGGCAGTCCCCTGCCCGTCCCCCTCTCCTCCCGCTGCTGTTCTCGGCTCCTCCTCCGTCGTCGATGATATTGCCTTTGGCCCTGCACTTGGGTCTGGAACTCCTCCTCCTCTTCTTCGACTTGTGATGAGCCGTACACTCCCTCCACAGGTGTGCTGACGATCCACACCCATGGCACTTCTTCGACTCGTCACAGTCCCTCGCCTCGTGTGCCTCAGACCCACAAACCCTGCATTTCTTCGCCCCACATGAGCCGAAATTATGGCCATAGGCCATGCATCGTCTGCAGAAAGGGGGCTGAAGGGCATAAAACAATGTCCCCCTGTCAGCCCCCAGGGAGAACAGAGCTGGAGGATGAAGGTAACCTCCCAGGCCCTTTGGGTCTTCCCTCAACAGAGCCTGGAAGCTTCTCTTCCCATTCCAGAACCCTAGCGAGTCTTTGAGGAGCCTTGCCGAGGAGACATTGTCCATATACCTCCCCATAAAAGCCCTCACCTCCTCATCCTTAACATGCGGGTTATACATGTTTACAGTTATTACCCTGAAGTTGTTCTTGGCCAAGCTTTTCACCTCGTAGTCGCACATCGGCTTGGCCTTCTCCACCTCCCTCGCCTTTTTCATGACCTCATCATGCTTCCCCTCCGTGTGAAAAACCACATCATAAGCCCCTTCCAAGGGGTTCACCTGGAGGCACATCACATCCTTTACCGCCAGCTTTAACACTCCCATCAACAAAGTCCTCCCAAATGTTTCCCTTCCAAAAGGCTCCATGTCCTTCTCCTTCCAAGCAAACCTAACTGCGTTCGTGATCCCAATCCTAGGAATCGCCCTGAAATTCGAATTTTTCGCAATGTCCGCGGGGAGAATAGCGCTGACACCACTGCTCCGACTCTTCTCTATATTAGTTACAAACAATTTTTAACTATTTTAATTGATTTAAACCACCGCTAGCTTCCTTCTTAGACAGTCGTAGTACTGCTGAGCATAGAGAAACTAGCAGAGAAAACTGAGCAAGGGAACACAGGGAAGTGAAGGCATAAATACACAAGTGAATCAGGTAGACACAGGTGACACCAATAGGCAGATAATTAGTCCCGACTGTGAGTGAGGAGGTGACTATGGTTGTCGGAGGATGACACCTAGTGGGTCGCTCCGGAACTGCGACCCACTCCTGTAAAAATGAGGTGGGCTTACCTTTTACACGTTTAAATCAATTTATTCACTGTTGTCAATTGATCCAAAAAGTTTTGCATATCTTTAAGTAAGAAATTCAAAGTCATGAACTTCTTCTGGGTTTTATTTGAATTTTATTTAAATAATAATCATAATAATTGTATTACATAATACAGTTCTTAACTCAAAGTGTGTAAAATACCAAGTCCACAATTGTTTGGTTACTACATGATTCTAGATGTGTTATTTCATAGTTTTGATGTCTTCACTATTATTCTACAATGTAGAAGATAGTAAAAGTAAAGAAAAACCCTTGAATGAGTAGGTGTGTCCAAACTTTTGATGAATACTGTATATTTACACTACAGGTCAAAAGTTTTAAAACACCTACTCATTCAAGGGTTTTTCTTTATTTTTTTACATTTTATAACAATAGTGAAGACATCAAAACTATGAAATAACACATATGGAATCATGTAGTAACTAAAAAAGTGTTAAACAAATCAAAATATATTTTATATTTGAGATTCATAGAATAGCCTCCCTTTGCCTTAATGACAGCTTTGCACACTCTTGGCATTCTCTCAACCAGCTTCATGAGGTAGTCACATGGAATATATTTCATTTAACAGGTGTGCCTTCTTAAAAGTGAATTTGTGGAATTTCTCTCCTTCTTAATGCGCTTGAGCCAATCAGTTTTGTTGTGACAAGGTAGGGTGGGTATACAGAAGATAGCAATATTTGGTAAAAGACCAAGTCTATATTATGGCAAGAACAGCTCAAATAAGCAAAGAGAAACAACAGTCCATCATTACTTTAAGACATGAAGGTCAGTCAATACGGAACGTTTCAAGAACTTTGAACGTTTCTTCAAGTGCAGTTGCAAAAACCATCAAGCGCTATGATGAAACTAACTCTCATGAGGACCGCCACAGGAATGGAAGACCCAGAGTTACCTCTGCTGCAGGGGATAAATTCATTAGAGTTTCAAGCCTCAGAAATTGCAGGCCAAATAAATGCTTCACAGACACATCTCAACATCAACTGTTCAGAGGAGACTGTGTGAATCAGGACTTCATGGTCGAATTGCTGCAAAGAAACCATTACTAAAGGACACCAATAATAAGAAGAGACTTGCTTGGGCCAAGAAACACGAGCAATGGACATTAGACCAGTGGAAACATGTCCTTTGGTCTGGAGTCCAAATTTGAGATTTTTGGTTCCAACCGCCGTGTCTTTGTGAGACGCGGTGTGGGTGAACGGATGGTCTCTGCATGTGTATTTCCCACCGTAAAGCATGGAGGAGGAGGTGTTATGGTGTGGGGGTGCTTTGCTGGTGACACTGTCTGTGATTTATTTAGAATTCAAGGCACACTTATCCAGCATGGCTACCACAACATTCTGCAGTGATACGCCATGCCATCTGGTTTGGGCTTAGTGGGACTATCATTTGTTTTTCAACAGGACAATGACCCAACACACCTCCAGGCTGTGTATGGGCTATTTTACCAAGAAGGAGAGTGATGGAGTGCTGCATCAGATGACCTGGCCTCCACAATCGCCCGACCTCAACCAAATTGAGATGGTTTGGGATGAGTCGGACCGTCGAGTGAAGGAAAAGCAGCCAACAAGTGCTCAGCATATGTGGGAACTCCTTCAAGACTGTTGGAAAAGCATTCCAGGTGAAGCTGGTTGAGAGAATGCCAAGAGTGTGCAAAGCTGACATCAAGGCAAAGTGTGGCTATTTGAAGAATCTCAAATATAAAATAGATTTTGATTTGTTTAACACTTTTTTGGTTACTACATGATTCTATATGTGTTATTTCATAGTTTTGTCTAAAGAAAAACCTATGAATGAGTAGGTGTTCTAAAACTTTTGACCAGTAGTGTATAGTCATGAAATCAAAATGTAGGAGGAAGGGAAGGCTAGCCAATAGAGCTGATTCTTAAGGCCTGCTTTTAGTGCCCCAACAGTCTGAGCAGCCCTGAGATTTTCAGGAAGGGAGTGCTTGTCCTTTTCCCCCTCAGGAGACTAAAAAGATTTGGCATGGGTCCCCAGATCCTCAAAAGGTTCTACAGCTGCACCATCGAGAGCATCCTGACCAGTTGCATCACTGCCTGGTATGGTAACCGCTCGGCAGTTGGGTAGTACGTACATTCCAGTACATCACTGAGGCCAAGCTTCCTGCCATCCAGGACCTATATACTTAGCCAATTAATTATACTCGTGAGCAAACATTCCATAACTGCAGGTGGCAGTAAATCGCCAACCTTGGCTTTCTACCTGTTCAAACAACACTCTTCAGCTGGCAGTATGCACCCTTCCAGTTTGTTTGCCAACTTGTAGAAGTAGTAGAAGAAGAAAATGGACTACTTCAAAATGGAGATGGCCTCAATGGCGCTTCCATTGTTCTCACAGACGCCATATAGAGCCCCACAGTGGAGGTGTCATATTACCCATAAAACCTAGCGGTCAAACATGGGAAAAATGACGATTGGAACAATTTCCCTATTTGACTGCTAGGTTTTATGGGTATTATGACTCATACTGTGGTACTCTATTGGGACAGATACAATGATGTGATGTCTATCTAAGTAACAAACTGAAGTGTCTTTAGATGAAGTGTAGTTGAGTGGGGAATTGGGCTGATCTTCCTCATTGTGCATGAAGCTCTTTCAAAAATGCATTGGGAATTATTTTAATTTACAATAAATAATGCAATGTTTTAGTTATTGTGGCATGACTGAATTAATAAACAACTGTTTGATCAAGAAAATGGATTCATCCCTTTTATTTTACAGGAAATAATTTTTGTATTTTACTTGCTAATTTAAATTTTTCTAAATATCAAAAAGATCTGCTTGATCCTTCACTTCTAGAAGAATACTTTACTGCCCATTTGTGGAAACTTATTACATCCTTACATCCTTTTGCTCAGTACCCAACCCCCCTGAAACAGAAATACATGTCCACTGACATGCTAGAAGAACATAGGGTCAGCGACACAGCAGCATCCCTGATTTGACTTTACTACAGTAAAATACATTTAACGAAATGCAGAAGAATTCACAGAAAAATAATGCAATACAAAGGAGAAAAAAGAGATTAGGTTGATGATAAAAACAAATGTATGAGCATTCAGATCTGGCATATGTTCCTGTCAGACCCGGGATTCAAACCGGCAACCCTGGCCCTACTGCTGTACTATCTAAAGTCATAATTGGTACTATTTTAAGTTCAGATTTTAGATGAGGAAAATCAAGAGAAGAGAGAAAGATTCTCCTTCTATAATTTTTGTAAAGCATTTCCTGATCTTCTTGGTCCTAATACCATATTTAATATAGGGTGTACCAGTGGTGGGAACAGAATGAACTGTACTGATATTAATACATTAACCTCTCTGGTTGCTGTGCTGTGCCTGTTGTAAATAAGAGAAAAAAGGATGGCTGTAGAGAAGTTGATGAAAGTGATCAAGTGGGGAGCACACATATTAAAAGCCTTTCGTGACTCCTTTTAGGCTTTCAAGAAACAAGCAATATGTTGACATATGAGAGCACAATTAACACAAAAGGTAAAACCACTAGACTTGCTATATGATACATATACCATACAGTTTGCTCAGTGCAATTTTAACACGGGAGAGTTTAACAACTTCTAAGCTATCACAAAAAAGCTTAGATGTTGTACCTGCACAAAGGGAGCCTTGAAGTGATAAACATTTCAAAAGAGTTATGGGAATAAAATATACCAAGGCTAACAACATTCTCACTTTAGAAGGGGTCATAATGCTGTTATATTGAAATGGCTTACAAATGGAGACATACCTGTCATAAGCCATCACTGCTAGAAAAACGTAAGCACATGTTACACATACATTGCAGAAATGTATATGTAACTGTGGGCCAGGAGACCAGAGGTGAAAGAACAGGTTGGGGTGTAGGGTCGTCCCAAGGATCCCTGTTAGCATCTGTTTGAGCATAGCCTGAAGGTAGGGAGGGCAGTTATAGCTACTATAAGTAACAAAACACATAATTCAATATTACAAAAATAATCAGTTCATGTTTTAGGGCAAAGTCCGAATACCTTTTTACAAGCCTGCCTGATTTTAACCATCCTAACACCGTACATAAAAGGATTGAAAAGTGGTGGACATATCAGAAAATAAACTAATAAAATAGTACGAAGTATAGGTGGAAGATGTGCAGAATCATATCTGCCTTGTAGAATCACAAATAAACAGCCAGAGGAGAAGTTCAGCAAAGAGGCTATATGTGGCGTACAAGTGTTAAATGCTTTCTGTTTCGTCTCTTTAGAAGACTTTAAACATATTTGTAGAATTCTTACATATGAGTATATGGTCGGAAATATAGTACAAGAAAAAGATAGCACAGTTACAACAAGACCCCATATGTTATTCAGTGTAGTATTTGAACATGCAAGCCTGACTACGGAGTAGTTGTCACAATACACTCTGTCTAGAACGTTACCACAAAATTGCAGTCGCAAACTGAGGGAGATAATGATGGCGTTGATGAAAAAAGAATACACCCAGGGCAGTAGAATTAAGCCACAAATTATTTTAGGTGTCATAATATTGTTATACTCTAGAGGATAACAAATAGAAATGTACCTGTCATAGGACATAACTGCTAAATTACAAAATTCTGTTATAGCGTATGTGTACAACACATAAATCTGGAGATAACAATAAAGAAGGGAAATATCATGTGTGTCAGAGAGCAAGTAAAACATGAGAGCAGGAAACAAACCAGTGCTCCCATACAACTGATTAACAAACAAAGCACATAGAAACAGATACATGGGTTCATGAAGGCTTCTTTCAATGCATATAACTCCAATAAGGAAAGCATTGGCAAGAATTATGACAAAATATAATACAGTTACCACAACAAAGTAAAAGTACTTAAATTGTCCGATATCACCGTATGCAGCAAGCCTAAAGATCTCAAAGTGAGTAGAGTTCTCCATGGTCCTGGGAGTTGGTAAAGATGTGCTGTCAATGTTGGAAGAAGAGTAGCCAATGCTCTCTTGTACTGTAGCTTAAATATAAGTTGAAATAATGAAATCACAAAGAACAGACAACCTAAATGGATAATTCCTTGATGCAGTGATAGATTTTCCCACATCTATACTCACCAATATAGATGGATTTTCATTCTCCTGATAACATAATTCATTGCCTAAATCAAACAATATTATACTTTGTATCCTGCACTAGTGATTTATTACTTTCAAATGCAAAATAATAAATCAATTACCTGTAAAGTATGCTAAATCCAACATTTTGACAGACCATTTCTAATCCATGATGAACTGCATAAACTCAACTCCTCAACTGATTCTTATACTTGTGAGATAAAAAAAAAACTCCCATGGTGTGATATGGAAGTGTACACCAATACCTGGGGAAATATTTAGATATGCTCAGAGTCAAGGAAACCATACAGAGAAAAACAGATACAATTTTGTAACACAGGCCCTCTAGGGAGGTGGTTCAAAGCCTTTCTAAAATTCTATACAAACTACAGTATTTCATAGAGAATAGTAGATTACACAGGGCATGTACAACTGATGTGAACTGGTTAGCTTGTTGGCGGTGCGCACTAGCGTTCAATCGGTGATGTCACTCTCTCGGAGAGATAGAAGTAGTTGTTTCCCTTGCTCTGCAAGGTCCGTGGCTTTTGTGGACTGACAGGTAATGATGCTTCGTGGGTGACGGTTGTTGATGTGGTCAGAGGGTCCCTGCTGTGAGCCCAGGTTGGGGCAAGGCAGGGGACGGAAGCAACACTGTTACAGTACACATGGTCAGAGGGACATTCTTAAATAAAGAAAGTAGTTTGGTAGGCTGTGTTAGTGGCCTATGATCCTGTTAAAACAATGTACGTGTTGGGACCCTCTAGCCTGGCACTCTACAATGTAGAAGAAGTATGTGACATCACCAATGGGCTGGGTAGACAATGCAGTCAGCTCTCTCATTAACCTTTCAGGAGTTTGTGTGCTATGTATTGTGTACAATAAAGAAATAGTTCAGTGAAATCAATCCAAAGCCTCTGACAAAGGGACGGTTGCCAGGACGCAGATTAAGTCTACTCCTGGACTAAAACACACTGTCAATGGAGATTCTCCATTGAAACATTTTTATTCTACGACCAGTCTTAATCTGGGTCCTGTAATTCAGCCTTCAGTCTTGTTCCAGACCACTGTAGGGAGGTATCTGGGTACTGTTGAGGGGCTACCTTGCTAGCTATAGTCTGAATGAGGGTGCAACACAACAGTCTGAGGAGAGGTCATCATTGGTAGCCTGGCCCCAGATCTGTTTGTGCTATCATTCTAACTCATTGTCATGTTTGGCATGACAAGGGGAGGAATAATAGCACAAACATACTGGTACCCAGGCTACATTGTTAGGGCACTGACCAAATCCAAATCAAATCAAATGTTATTTGTCACATGCAACGAATACAACAGGTGTAGACCTTACCGTGAAATGCTTACTTACAAGCTTGTAACCAACAATGCAGTTCAAGAAATAGAGTTAAGAAAATATTTACTAAAATGAAATAAAAAGTAACACAATAAAATAACAATACCGAGGCTATATACAGGGGGTAACGGTATCGAGTCAATGTATGGGGGTACAGGTTAGTCGAGGTAATTTGTATATGTAGGTGGGGGTTCGGGGGGGGAGAGAATAACTCAGAAGCCTTAGTCCTACCTATAGTCTAAAAACTAGGCCCAGAGCTTTTCCTGCTCAGGTAAAAGTGAGGACCCTTATTATCACTCTGGGCTTCCTTAGGCCTACAGTACACTTTCAGGGCCTACCCTCCCAGAGGGGATGAGAGAAGGTTTGAGTCCCAAATTGCACCCTATTGCCTTTATAGTGCACTACTTTTGACCAGAGGGCTCTGGCCAATATAGGGAAAAGGGAATATACATAGGGAATAGCGTACCATTTGATTTTGGTTCCCAGGGATCGAGGCAATATATTGGACTAATGACCTGGTACCCAATGACTCAAACATGTGTATTACAGGTGCACAACTTTCACTGGGGACGGGGGGGACATGTCCACCCCCACATTCTGAAATTGCATTTTTGTCCCCCCCCAGTTTTATCATTGGAATGTGATACAAAACGAGGCAATGGTGTGCTTTAGGACCATGTGGACGCCTCCGAGCATTCGGGTAGGCTGTTTGGAGTGTTTATCCAACTGGATAAAAAACTGAGCAAGGGAACACAGGGAAGTGAGGGCATAAATACACAAGTGAATCAGATAGACACAGGTGACACCAATAGGCAGATAATTAGTCCCGACTGTGAGTGAGGAGGTGCCTATGGTTGTCGGAGGGTGACACCTAGTGGGTCACTCCGGAACTGCGACCCACTCCTGTAACAGGAGGCGACGGAATGCTGTATCAGCCCTGTGTTCAGAATGACCCATGGGCACCCCGGACCGCTCCTCTGGCCCATAACCCTCCCAATCCACCAGAAATAGGAGACCTCTCCCCCCCGCCGGCAGTCCAGGATCTGGTCCACCATAAAAGCAGGCTGCCCTCCGACGAGGCATAGTGGGGGAACAGGACAAGGAGGGGGAGCCAGGGGACAGGTGGCGACAGGATGGAGGAGGGACACCTGGAATGTGGGATGCACCCGCATGGTGGGGGGAAGTTGCAGGTGTTAGGTCACTGGGTTGACTCGCCGGACCCCTCTGAATGGCCCGACGGGACCGCCGCCTCCTCCTCTTGCTCGGGGAATAGGGGCGCTTGGAGATAGGCAGGGGTCGGAGCAGCCCTGCCGCGGGCTGACGTGAGCTCTTCGTGCGTGCGCACACCAGGCAAGCAGCCACGAAGGCACGTGTATCCCACTCAGCAGATGGCCACCAGAACCTCCTACGCAGGAACTCCAATGTCCTGGCGCTCCCTGAATGGCTGGTGAGGTTGGAGGGATGCGCCCACTGAAGCAGTCGCGAGCACGCAGCCTTGGGTACGTACATCCTCCCCGATGGGCCTCCACCCAGATCGGGCTCCCGCCGTAGCGCTGCTCTGACCAGCCTATCAATTCCCCACAAAACTGGGGCAGCCATCAGGGCATTGGGGACAATGGGGTCGTGACAAGGAAAGCAATCGCCCTTGTGTGGGCATGGCTCCCGGCAGGAGATTGATAGCGCAGTCATAAGGCCTGTGAGGCGGTAGGCCCTTGGCATGCCTCCTACTAAACACTTCCCCCAGATCCCAATACTCCCCGGGAACAGCTGCCAGGTCTGGGCCGGTGACAGAGTGCGGGACCTGGGGAAGAGGTGAGGACTGGTAGGTGGTCTGGGACGGTGGTTTGAGCTGATGAGTGGTCGGTGGCGACCGGAACACGATGGGGGAGGAGCCTCCCTCCAGGATGAGCCGCCCCGTGGACCAGTCTATCCGGGGATTGTGGTCGACCAGTCAGGGGTGCCCGAGGATGAGGGGACACTCCGGAGAGTCAACAATGAAAAACTGGATATACTCCCATAGCCCCCCCACCACCACCCGGACACGTGCGGGGACAGTGCGCTGGGTGATGCAGCCCGACCCCAACGGCCGGCTGTCCAGGCCCATGACCGGAGCCGGCTCGGAGAGAGAGAGTAACGGAACGCTCCACCCTTGGGCCAGCCCTGCGTCCATCAACTTTCCCGTGGCCTCAGAATCCACCAGTGCATGCGCCCGACGTGCAGTACGGGCCCACTGAACCCTGACGGGGAGAAAAGTCAGGGAGTCTCTGGAGTTGGGGTTTCGGTTCCGGCTCGCTAGCACCCCTCCCGATCCAAGCAAGCCCTCCCATTTCCACGGCTTCTCCGGGCATGAGTCGCAGTGGTGACCTGCGTGGCCGCAGTACCGGCAAAGTCCCTGGGGCAGACACCTCTGCCTCTCCATCCTGGACAAGCACGCCGCACCAAGCTGCTTAGCCTCCTCCTGAGGCGTCTCCACCCTGAATCGGCAAAAAGCCTCCGGGCTGATAGGGTGACAAGGAGGCGAGCCTTGCGTCATGCCTCTCAAATATGCCCGCTCACGACGCCGATTGTCCACCCGCACCGAGAGGTCGACGAGGCCGTCCAATCGCTCTGGCAGCTCCCTGAAGGAGAGTTCATCCTTCATCCCCTCCGATAACCCCTGCACGTACAGGCGATCAGGGCGGCCTCCTCCCATCTTGCCTCTCGAGCCCTGTCCGGAATTCCACAGAGTAGTCCACCAACGAACGGTCACCCTCCCGACAAGCCATGATCTGCCTCCCGGCCTTGTGCCCCGACACCACCCGAGAGGTATCGAACACCTTCGTAGCTCCCGAGTGAACTGGTAGGAGTCGGAGCACGCCAGAGTTTGGCTCTCCCACTCCGCGGTAGCCCAGGAAAGGGCCCGACCCGTCAACAGAGTGATAATGTAGGCCACCCAGCCCTGCTTCATCAGGAAGGAGGAGGGTTGTAGGCTGAACATCAGGGAACACTGGGTGAGGAATTCCCTGCAGCCCTCTGGACGTCCGTCGTAACTCTGCGGAGGAGGTAGGTGGGGTTCCCGCGATGTTGCAGGCGAGACTGGAGACGCCGCTGCCGGGGTTGGTCGGGTGTCCACCCGGCTCTGTACGGCGATCGTCAGCTGGCGGAGATTCTCGATGATCTGCTGCAGGCTGCAGTCGTGCTGATCTAGCATGGCTCCATGCACTGCCAATGCACTATAATATTGTGCTGCCTCCGCTGGGTCCATATTGGCTCAGTTTTCTATAAGCGTTGGTGTGACCCAGGTGCGGTGCAGGATAGACAGTAGGCAGTAGGCAAGGATGGTGAAACAAGGATCTTTACTGGTTGTCCAAAAGCCAGGATACAAAACAACGGACTATTCACAAAAACAAATGAGGAGCACCTAGGTCTTCAAAAAACAGGCTGACAGCAAACAATACGAAATACTAACTCTGACTGGAAAAACACAATGACATAGGGAGAACAC